TCTCTCTCTCTCTCTCTCTCTCTCTCTCTCTCTCTCTCTCTCTCTCTCTCTCTCTCTCTCATTTGTTTCCTTCTCTTTTCCCTGTCTCTCATTCTCGCCCTCTAGCTCTCTCTCATTTCTGTGTCCCTCTCCCCCTTCTCTCTCTCTCTCATTTGCGACCGGCTGCTTTTTACAATTCCACGTCCTTCTCAGGCAAGCTGGCATAATGTCACACTGCACTTCCCAGATTTTGTTCATTATTATCTGCTGTATCATTTCAATCAGAATTCTATCAAACGTCTCTTCAACTTTGCATAAAAAACTAATTACCGTTGTAGCTTTTGCATTCATTCTTAGTACACATTACTTTGCATAGTTTCTGCCTTTTACAACCAAATCAAATCTTTATTGTCAATGCACAACATGTATACAATGAAATTGAACGAGCCTCCTTTGGTGCAACCTCCCCCAAACACAAAATACATCTCAATAACTCAACAAATGAAAGAAATTGTCAGGCTACAGAACTTTTCCCATTCAATCAACTAGAATGAACTTCTGAAAACGTATCAAAACGTATCAAAAGGAATCCTTTATTGAGATGAGACAATTCATGCAGGGGTTAAAAGCAGCGTCTAAGGTCTCTCAGGCATACCGGGATAGATAAGGGAGTTTAAAACCCCTCCCCTTATCTTGATGTGTATTTAGTAAAACAAAGAGCCAACATGTTAATTCCCCCACCACCTTTTTAGAACGATCTTTTCCAGAGTTTCCCAGGACACATCTTACTGTGGAATTTTTATGGCCTCTTCATCCCCTGGCTGTCTCTCCCAGAGATGATAGGTTCCAGCCATCTGGGTTTCATCCCTCCATTGTATCATGTGTAAGTTATACATATTCGATATAAGATTAAATATATTCAGGTTACATCAAGAAGGATTTATCAGTCTCCCCCCTCCCTTTCTTCTTCCATTGAAGAAATGACAGATACATGGATCTGACAGAAATAGAATCCCTAAACCCAAATAAGTAATACACATTCCCATTGTCAACTTTGGAAGCCATATTAGTTTCCACACTGCCACATTCTTGAGCCTGGGAAAATGGGAGGGGGGAATTTCGTGGAGCACATGTGGTTAGACATAATAGCATTCTTTTTTTAAAGTCAAGGTCATGTTATTTCCGCACCTGGCTGAGGAATGGTTGAAGGGATGTCTCAAGTTGGGACAGATGGTGATTGTGGCATGTGATGTAATGAGGGTTGCAGGGGGTGGATTTTACTTATTGGAGGGAAGCCTGGAACTTTCAGATTCGGGATTTCCCAGATGTGCCATTTTACTACTCTAATAAAAGGAAACTTTGAGAACATGTCTGTCTCAGAGTTATTGATTAGAGTTGAGGTTTACTGGAATGCTGACATTATCCTGAATCTCCAAATAGCTACCAGCACCCCGAAAGGGAGTTGTCCAGGGTGCTGAGCTCCAGTACTGACCTAAAGTTTGGGTGGTGCAAAGACTCAGTGAAGATGGAGGAGAAGGAGGAGATCACAGAAGGAGCTGTGAGAATGGATACCAGAGGACTGATTGAGACCTAGTATCCTCCTTCTGAAAAATTTGTGCAAGCCATTGAAGCTGCAGAAGAGAGATGAAGGTTGGACACTCAGCCCAAGGAAACGGATTCCTGGAAAAGTTGCCAGACTGATCTAAATCCAGAGATGGGACCAGAGGAGAGGCCACCTGAACATCTTCTCCACATTCACTTGTCCTGATCTAGGACCTGGCAGTGGATTCAGCATGGCATTGGCAATATTCCATTTGGCTAGAGATGACCGAAAAATCAACTCAGCATGACAGCAGCACAGCAGACTCCAGCTCAGCTGCTGCCCTGCTGTTCCTCATAGCGCCCCTGCAGGGCCCCCTCCTGCCACCCACAGCAGTGCGCCAGCAGATTCCAGGTCAGCCGGACTTCCGGTTTGTTCCTCGTCGGTGTGGAATCCACGATCGTGCATGGTTTCGCCCGAGTTCACTTGCTGGAGGGTCCCAATCAAGACCGGAGCCACCCTGGTGGGGTAGTGAAGAAGGGGGAAATCACCTGGAGGGTTGAGGGGAGCTGCAGCTCCCCTTCCTGACAAGAAAATCCCTCCCAAAGGCAAGTAGCAGTGGTCCTAAAATGGCCACCACAAAGACAAAGAACACTCTGGGAAACTAAGTTTTGTGCTGGAGAGAGTAGTAGCAAGCAGAGTGTGAACCAGGCAAAGGACATCACTTTTGAGGTACCCCAGTATCAGATTAAAGGGCTATTTTGGAGGAAAGTGTGTGGAAGTGGCGACCAGAGAACGTGAGAAAGAAATTGGTTTTTAAATTTGGATTTGATTATTCTATTGGATTAATCTGGAGGACAAATTTAAAGGAAAATACATTAACAGCAAAGGTTTAAAAATTAATCTGGACAGATATTGAACTGTGGGCATAACTAAATGCTGGAATTGAGTGTGTTGAAAAGAATAGCTAATGATTGAAATTAGCAAACTTAATAAAAAATTTATATTCAACAAAGAAAGTTAAAAAGAAAAAGACTCAAGAGCGCCACCTGATGGTACAGGAAAACTTTAGTCCGTTTTAAAACAAGTGTCTGGTCTTTTTGAGAGTTTGGACTTGGAACTTGAAAGAAAATAAAAGGAACTTTATTATTGCCAGTAATTTGGGAAACAGTTGGGAGGCCAATCAGAGGATTTGGAATAAAGACTCAAGAATATGAATTGTTGAAAATAAACTCAAAAGATGTTGGCTGAAATAATATATTGGACTCTGGGATTGAATATATCTAGTAAAGAAGAGGATTTCAGCTATTAAGGAAAAGGAAAGAAAAAGAAAAAAGGAGAAGATATAATGGAGGAGCTATTTGTTGATATAAGACTGGACTCACAAGATATAAGATCGGATATGCAAGATACAAGGAACATGATAAAAATCAAACTTGAAATGTGTAATTATGTACTACAGAAATTAGAAATGGTGACTCAGCATACAGAAGAACATAATAAACCAGAGGGGGAGGAGTTTTATAAAGAAGAAGCCAACTTAGAAGGACAAAATGAACAACAATATCTAAGCAGGGGGGGGAAAGGAATTAGAATTACAAATTTGTGGTCTGATGGGATGATAAAAGGGAGAATGGTTCGGAAAATGGTTAAAGAGAGAAGGAAAAAGCAGAAAAAGGAAGTGCAAAAGAAAAATAAAAAGAGGGAGAGAGAAAAGTTTAATAACTGGAATGAGAAAAAGAGGGGAATAAGAATGGGGAAAAAGGGAATTAAGAAAAAGGACCAGAAAATAAAGAGGAACAGGAAACAAACAACGATGAAAAGAAGGTACATTGTTCAAAGAGTGAGAGATAATGGGTAAAAAAAAAGGTATTAGAAAGGGGATTCTGCAAGGCAATGTGTTGGGATGTATAAGAATATATTGAAAATAGCATTTTGTAATGTATAGATGATTTATAGAGAAAATATAATGCAGAATCTGAGAAAAATATATATATTTGTGTTTTTATACTAGATAGGGAGATTGATATTAAGGAAGAATGAAGGTGGTTAACTCGAATTACTAACTAGAGGGGACGATTATATTTACAGATAAGGATTGATAAAATGACAAATGTGACAGAAAAAATAATAATATGAGAAATGACAATAGAAAGGAGATGAGAATTTTAGGTAACATTGTAAAATAAGATATGAGAATATACTAAGAAAAATGGAAGGAGATATATCAGGATTTGGAATTGAATAAATGAACATAGAATTGAGATGAGAATTTTAGATAATATTGTAAAATAAGATATGAGAACATGAATTGGGATTGGATAAGATAAACTTAATATTTAATAATGACAAGGATGACACAATATGAAATTAAACAAATAAAATGAATAGATAACTGGTCATGTTTGTATTGAGATGTGAAACCTGTAACCATACTGCTTACCAAATGAGAATTCTTTATTTAAAAATAATAATAAAATGAAAACAGGGAGAAAATTGAATAATGGAATTATTATGTATGTTTAATTGATATGGTGGTAGGCATTTGGAGAGAGTAAGGTTGAACTTAAATATTGAAGAAGTATGAATTAATATGAATATGTGCAATGAAAGATGTATGATAGATATATTGGTGCCACACTGTTAATGTATTGTTGTTATATGTACATTGAAATAAAAAAAATTGGGGAAAAAAAAAGATTTCATGTCAGCTGGCGGTCACCATGGTGATTTCCCCAGTGAGACCAGCACCACCAAGGTTGAGAGCAACATTTGATGGGAAGCCTGAAAAACTTGCTTATTTCCTCAGCCGAATCTGGGCACATATAGATCAATATGGAAACCAATACAAAACAGAGCGCGACCTAGTTTCCACAATCACAGATGGGATGAATGAAGCTTCCACCTGGATAGCCCAGCTACACAATAAGGAAGCTGCGGAGCTAAATGATGAAGATGGATTTGTTGAGCTGCTCTGGGCTAGATTTGAAGACCCTGACAGAGTAGGTGAAAATGAAGACAAAATAAAAGTTATGAAGCAAGGTAATCAACCTATAAAAGACTTTGTATGGGACTTTAGATGGGTTCTGCACTATTTTAGATCCAGAAGTCAGAATAGCCTGTGGCATCTGAGGGGTACCAGAGCGACTGCAAGACTGGTATGCCATGTCCATTGTTTTGAATAGAGAAATTCACACACACCAAAAACCTCCCTCTGAGAGGCCCCTTAGGAGAACTTTGGCCAGACGTCCTCTGACTAAAACTGCTGAAGCTGTTCCTACCCAATCTACAGGAATTATCAAATGCTACCGTTGTGGTCAAGCGGGTCATCGTGCTTCTGAATGTCTGGCCCCTGCACTGGTTCTGCAACCAAGGCCCATTACAGCTTCCAAAGGCAGCAAAGCCCCACGGAAGCCCCCAGACACCAGTTGGTTTGCCAGACAAGCTGTAGAGGTTCCCCTCCCCACAGAAGAGAGCGAGGAACCTCAGGCCAAAGAAACCCTTTCCAGAAAGGCAAATGATGAAGAGGACCCTGTGGTGAGTGCAGCTATCTCCACTTTTACAATCAAAGTGAAGTTGGTGGTGCCTGAGACTGAGGAGTTTGGGGAATTAGAAGCAGTAATAGATACAGGATATTCCAGATGTCTAATTAGGCTCCCTATTGTTGAGCAATTAGGGATAAAGACTAGAGCCCTAAATGTCCCATCAAGTTTGAACAGGCAGATAGAACATTAATTGGAGGAGCTCCTGCCACCCAAATTACAGAACTGATCAGATTAGAAATGGGAAGCATCGTGAACTCATACAATTTAGAGTAGCTCCAAAAATGTCAGAATCTGTCATATTGGGACTTGCTTGGCTCGACAAATGGGCCCCTACCATTAAATGGGAAGATGGGTATCAGAAAATCACAATTGGTGTCAGCCTGCTGCCCACAGTCCCTCCTGAAAAGACTGCCAACAAGCAGGGGCCCACAGCCAGAAGCAGCAGCTGCCACTTCAGGCTTTCCTCCAGGTGAACCCCAGGTTACTAAAGAATATAGAGACTTAGCCAAGGCTTTTAATGAGGAGAAATGCAACATCCTCCCCCCCCCCCCATTGAGCCACTGGTTATGCCATCAAATTAGAACCTGGGGCAAAGCTTCCTAAACCAAAGATGTACTCCATGACACCAGCCAAGATGACTGAGTTGAGGAAATACATTGATACCAACTTAGCCAGAGGGTTCATCAAACTAGCAAAGTCTAGGATGGCAGCCCCAGTATTATTTAAAGAGAAGAAAGATAGCAGTTTAGATTATGCATGGATTTTTGGGGCGTGAATATGGTGTACATACAAAACACATACCCCCTTCCTTTAATGAAGGACTTGCTAAATCACCTGTCCGAAGGCAAAATCTTTACCAAGTTAGATCTGAGAGAAGCCTACTACTGAGTCCTCATAAAGGAGGGAGATGAGTGGAAAATGGTGTTTAACTGCCCTCTGGGGAGTTTTCAATTCCAGGTCATGCCCAAGGGCTCCCCACTGTATTTATGCAGCTGATCAATGAGGTGTTAGATGCACATTTGTACATGGGGGTCCTTGTTTACTTGGAGGACATTTTTATATTCAGTGAGACCCCAGAAGAACATGTCAAATTAGTCAGGCAAGTACTGGAAAAACTTTTAGCTGCCAAGCTATACGCAAAGCTGCTAAAATGTGAATTCCATAGAGTCTTTGGACTACCTGGGCTACCGAGTGTCAAATCAGGGGATTGAGATGGACCCTGGAAAGGTGAAGGCAGTGCTAGACTGGCAGCCCCCAAAGACACAACTTCAAAGCTTCCTGGGTTTTGCAAATTTTTATAGACAATTCATCCCTTCATTTGCCAGGGTCACCCTCACTTTAACAGAGTTACTGAAAACTGGTCCTTCTCCAACCAAACCAAAACCTAATCAACCTCTTATTTGGACAATGAATTGTCAAAAATCATTTGAAACTTTAAAGCACCTTTTTGCAGGAAATCAAGAAAATCCTTGACTCTAGATTACATTAAGGACAATTACAATATTTAGTGTTGTGAAAAGGCTACCATTTGTCAGAATCTATTTGGGTGAAAAGTTAGGATGTACACGCAGATAGATTGATTACACAATTCAATGACAAGTTCCCTGACAAGCCAAAAGGTTCCCTTGGAGGGGGGATGGGGGAGAGGGGCTTAAGTGGCTTGATGACAATGCGTTAATCCCTTGTTGTGTTTTGTTTATTGTATTTTTCAGGGCATGATTTTTTTCAAGAGGGGTGCCTGTCAGCTTTGGAAGCCATATTAGCTTCCACACTGCCACATTCTTGAACCTGGGACAATGGGAGGGGGGAATTTTGTGGAGCACATGTGGTTAGACATAATAGCATTCTTTTTTAAAGTCAAGGTCATGTTATTTCTGAACCTGGCTGAGGAATGGTTGAGGGGATGTCTCAAGTAGGAGGGATGGTGATTGGGGCATGTGATGCAATGCGGGGTGCAAGGCGTGGATTTGTAATTTTTTACTTATTAAAGGGAAACCTGGAACTTTCCGATTCAGGATTTCCCAGATGTGCTAGTAAAAAGAAACTTTGAGAACATGTCTGTCTCAGAGTTATTGATTGGAGTTGAGGTTTTCTGGAAGGCTAACACCCATATACCTATATGTATGTAACATATTATATTACATCGATATGAACATGTTGCATGTTGCACTGGCCCTGCAAATCTATCATATTAAATTGTGGTGTTATGTTGCATTCAGAAGTCTGACAGCCCATGGCTAAAAGCTATTTTTCAATCTATTCGTTCAGCTGGCTATGCTTCTATATCTCCTGCCCAATGATAGGCAAGTAAAGAAGTGCTGACCAGGATGTGAATCATCCCTGAGCATTATCCTCACTCTGCTGAGGCAGCAGGTCCTGGCAATTTCATCCAGTAATATCAAGGGGTAGCCCATAATTTTTTGGGCTGTGCTCATCACCAGGGGTGGGATTCAAATAATTTAAAAACCGGTTCTGTGACCTAATAACCAGCTGGGTAGGCATGACTGGGTGGGCATGGCCAATTTGACATAGTTCAAGTCGAGGGTGCTTCTCCTTGCCTGGCCTCTTGTGACCGTGGGGATGCTGCAACAGTTGTAAGTGAAAAACAGTCATAAGTCACTTTTTTCAGTGCCATTGTAACTTTGAATGGTCACTAAATGAACTGTAGAAAGTCAAGGATTACGTGTACAAAAATACAAAAAGCTTTGATTGCAAAAAGCTGCCCTAAATAGCAGTCATTAAATTAAAAATGCCTGCAAGCTGGAGTTACAAATCAGGCAGGATCCAGAGCACCTTGAGGAATTAAAATAGTTAAAATGCAATGATAACTATCAGCAGCCAACTTTTGCTCATAAAGTGAAATCCTTTAGCAGAGAGGTCATTTAAGCTCTCCAGAAAGAGCACACCCAGGAGAAGCAATCCTTAGATCCATTTGCACCACTTAAAGACACCAGCTGGTCTCACTCACCTCACAAGATATCCCAAGGAAATCATCCAGATTTAAGGAAAGGTCACATGTCCCCCAGAAAGGCAGTAAAAGTATCAGTGCCAAGCTTGCATCCTGCCTCTTGGAAGTACACCCCAAAAGGACAGTGCCAGGAACCACTAAAGCACCACTAAAGCAGTGAAGGAAGAGCCCCTCCCCAGATAGAAAAAGAAACCATGAGGCAGGAAAAATTCAAACACAATACAAATAATTAAATCACAACAGTAGCTGTTGCTTGTTAATCCAATTACCAGAACAAATAGACAAACAGACATAGGAACTAGCCAGATTTCTCAACCCAGTTTCTTTTCAGGAACAGAGATTAAACTTTTTCCTTCCAAACAAAGCTGAATAGGGAAAATTATCCCATCAATAAACACAGCATTAAACATCACCAAGCACAGAATTAAACTTCACCAAAAACCAGTTTTAGACAAACTCAGAAAGGGTATGTAAACTTACATTTGAATGTCAATCTTTCTAGCTAGCCAAGAAGCCTTGCTGAATGTCACTCATCTTGGTTCCTTGTCTTTCAAGCAGCTCTGCTTCATTATTCAATTATTTCTTCAAAGTGCTGATCCCAGCTGGAGAAACTCCAACAGGGGAGTATTTCCTCCCAACAGCAGTGTAAAAAGGTTAAAACAACCCTTCCCCTTTAAAAGTACCAGCAAAGAAAAAAAAACCTCTGGAGTCTAGGCTTATTCCCAAGAATGTAATAAGGGTTAATGGAGAGGCAGTTTATGTAAGCAGGGCAATAAAGATTACGCTAGAAACAACACCAGAATGTTTCCTTCCTGCCTTTCTTACAGGATTAGCGCTGTAAAGTGGGGGGGGGGAGATTTCTTCCAACAACCGGTTCTCCGAACTGCTTAGAAAATTAACAACAGGTTCTAGCGAATAGTTGAGAACTGGTAGACTCCCACCCCTGCTCATCACCCTCTGTAATGCTTTCTGTCCACAGATGTCAAGCCAGCATACCATACTATTACCTTAACACAATATGTAAGGATGTTTTCTAACTCTTAATTATGGTTTAACTGCATCTTTTTATACATATACATTATGAAATATCTTCATGTCTTTTTTGCAGCATTTGTTGTTTTACATGGCTTTTTTTCCTTATCCACAGTGTGTTTAACTTCATCCACCAAGTATTATTTTCCTTACATTCCATTCTATATATTTCTGTGGAATTTTATATTTTTTCCAAGCAAGTGTGTGTAATAGGCAGACAAATAACCTTGAATAACTGGAGTAAGAGTAGCAACCAAGATATAAGCCAGATAAAAGAAATATCAAAACTCAATTTGAATTAAAATTTTGGATATTCTTCTGTAATTAAGCACAATATTAGCATTGAGATGAAGGTAGCAATTGATCTTATGAAACTCATTCTTTACTTAATAGAACATCTGGTAACTATTTGCTTAGGTATAATTGTATTTATTGCTGAAGATAAAGAAGAGCAGCAGTATGAACATAACTGTTTACTGGAGGAATCAGATGGTGTTCAGTACTCTCAGAGATCATCGACAGAGAAGCTTGAAACAAACAAAGGGGCAAATAATGGTAGGTTTTTCTATATGGTCATTTTATTATTCTGCTTAAATGTTCTATCATTGTTCATTTTGCATTGAAATACTTTTTTATTTTATATGTCAAACCAGATTCTCTTTAAATAATGCATTTTGCCTGATTCTAAGACAAGTATGTTTGTTGTGCAGAAAACATGTTTTTCAATATATAATCATACTGTATAATCATTTTTCTTAGTATTAAAAACTGTAGCATATTTTTTCATTAATAATATATTGAATTTGAGTATAAATTTCAAATTTTTCTTCAGATACTATTTAAAATGTTTATATGATCAGTATAAATTAGTATAAATTAGCATTCTAGGATACATGAACATATGGAAATGCTTCTTGGTCAGTAGATATGGCATGAATATTAGCCATTTTGTTATTTTGCAATTTTAATATGCAGTCTTTGTTTGCATTTAACATTTATGCTCAGAGTATAATAAGTTAGATACATGGCTCATAACCAATATAAGAGTCTTGGGATAATTCTGAGCAACATTTTCATCTTAAATAGCAAAGCAACTTTATCTTCTACACTTGAGGAGGATATATAGATCTCAGGACCATATAGAGCAGGGGTGTCAAACTTGATTTCATTTCACTGCATCAGGACTGTTTTTCATGTCGAGCAGGGCTACGGTGGGGGTGGCTGAGGGCTGGGTGTGACTTGGTAGGTGTGACGGGTGAGTGTGGTCATGGTGGGTGTGACATGTCGGGGGGGCACCTGTGGTGGCCAAGTGCTAAGGCAGGACTTCCCTCAGACTCTCCCTCTCATTATACTCTCCTTCCTTCCTTCCTTCCTTCCTTCTTTCCTTCCTTCTCTTCTCTTCTCTTCTTTTTCCTTCCCTCTTCATTCTAATTTCTTCTTCCTTCCTCTCTTTATTTTTCCTTCCTTGATCTCTTCCCCTCTTTACTTCTTTCTCTTTCCCTTTCTCCTTTCCTGCCCCTTCTTGCATGCTCAAATGCAAAAGGGGAAACCTTTTTCCTTTTGTTTTGTTTTTAGATTTTATAGCCCTCTGCCAGCTAAAAATGTCCCTACCAAAAATGACGGCCTCCTGCAGCACTCTGCCAGCCAAAATGGGATAGGGGGGGGTAGCATCTATGGGGGGGGGGGTAGTTGATTTGAAATAAGAATGAAACCATCAGGAAAAGTCAGCTTGCTCACAGTTTGGCTCTTTCCTCAAAACAAGAAGTCAACTCCATTGATGAGCAGGGAAACAGAAAGCAAGTGTGGCAATTTGACTTTACTTGAATTATGTGTGTAAAAGTTGGAAAGGAAGATAATGAACTCAGTAATATGACAAACAGCTTCAAGGATGAAGGTGCAAGTTCAGAAAGTAGTCATAAAAACCTCAAGGGAAAAAAATTCAAGGCCTACTTCGGTTGACATTAATTGAAAAAGCAGAATTGGGACCACCAAATGCAGAGAGAGACAGAGAGGCACACAGAGAGAGGCAGAAGAGAAAGAGAGAAAAAGAGAAAGAGAGGCAGAATCCAAGTCAACAGAGGACTCCAGAAACCTCAGCCAAGCCACCAGTCCCTTTCCTGTGACAAGCAAAAATTGTTAAAAAGAAGGACATGTTTAATTACCTCTCTGGGGAAAATAAACCAGAAAAGGGGGGGGGGTGTAGGATTTTCTGAATAGTCTTAGAAAGAAGAGAAAAAATGAGTTGAGAAGCAAAAGTCACAACAGGAGGATGCAGAGGACCCCAGAGGAAGAAAGAAAAGGAGACTCGGCCCAGAAAGGGCAGTCAAGGGAACTGCTCAAGCAAGGAAAGAAGCCCTTCTAGCTATAGGGAAAAATGATAATGGGTGCAAACCAGTGGTGGGATTCAACTAATTTAACAACTGGTTGAGCCAGAGAGTAGCTGGGTGCGGGTGTGACTCTAGCCACCGGCCAAGGTGGGTGAGGCGAGATGGGGTGGGACGGGGTGGGGTGGGCAGGACCAGCCAGTGCTGGGATTTGCCAGTTGGCTGAATTGCGCAGAATCTTAACAACCGGCTCACTTGAACCAGTCCAAACCGGTTGAAGACCACCTCTGGTGCAAATTATAAAGTGCAGTGAAAAGTTGGAGTTAGAAAAAGGCTGAATGAGAGAAAGGAAAAAAAATGCTGCTAAGGAAAAGATCATCTTGTCTTGACTAGTAAAATTCAGATAGATTAAAGCTGCCTAAAGTTGAGTCTGTGTAGCCTCAAGGATCCCTTCTACTGTCCTCTCTGCCACCAAATCAGAAGTCTTCCAGTCCTCTCAATGAGTATCAGTGAAGCAAAATTAGGTGTCAAAATTTCCCAACTCAGAAATCTCTTGAACCTGCCAGTGCAAATAATTATATTGTGCCCAACTTCACTGCCTTAGGAAATTGATCCTGGAAGAGGGATTTTCTTGCAACTGGAGGTTGTTATCCAGTCCACAGTTCATTTGTTTTTAACTGCTTTTCTCATTCCTATGCCATCCATATTTTTTCTATGACAGTGTGTCTCCCTCCACCTTATATTTGGACTCCACTCTCTTTGGCCATCTCCTTTTTTGAAAAAATACTTTCCTGACCAATTCTTTTTTTCTTCTTCTGATTGCTGCCTGTATTCCCAACTGTTTTCTTTCCCAACTATTTTCCTGCACTACTCTGGTAGCCAAAATGTGGGAGGGGGCGTGCAACACGCCCCTGTGCCCCATTTTTGGCCTTCACAGCCTCCTCCACTGTGGAAGCTGAAATGAGGAGTAGGGGGTGCACGATGCCCCCTGCATCCCATTTTGGGCCTGCATGGCCTCCTGCACCACCATGGAAGCTTGAAACGGGGTGGGAGACTGGTGATGCCTGCCCCACCCCACATTTTGGGCCTGCACAGCCTCCTGCACCACCACAGAACGTGAAACAGGAGGTAGGGGTGCACAATGCCCCCCTGGTGCCCCATTTTTGCTAGTAGAGGCACTGCAGGCTGGACCTTTGCAATTTCCATGCCAACTCCGTGAGCCGGATCTAAACACCCCACAGGTCGGATCCAGCCTGCGGGCCTTATATTTGACACTCCTGATATAGAGTCTAGTTTATGTTACCTCCAAAAAACCTTGTGTGATTTTCCCACCCCTTTCTAACAGTCCTCCAGTATTCTCTCCTGATTATTTAGAAGAGTTTGAAATGGCAAATGTGTTTTACTGTAACCTTGGGACTGAAGTCTAGTTGGAATTGCAACACTTTGTTAACATCTTCTGACACCTGTTTAGCCATGCAAGAATTGTTCTGGCTTAATGTCAGACCTACCTTAATTTGAACCTTTAAGCAAGAATGATCCTTAACTCCATTTCTTGAGAAAGGTGTAGTTTACTAAAGGTCAAATGAAATACAGTAGAGCAAAGCCAGAACTGAAAAGTGTGCCCAAAATCCCAAAGTGTAACTTCGCCTTCTTAGGTGCATCCCCCTGCTGGGCTCCATTGCCTGATCAAATTCAAAGTGATAATTTTTGGAATGGTTGATTCACATGTGGATTGGAATGCAGCTGCAGTCCATTCTCAGCTATCGGACCTTGAAGTCACATATCTGGTGAATACAGTGAACTCTTCATTACCCCTGAATCCTCCCCTCTCCCATCTGGTTTCCCTGGAGTTCATGGCAGACTGTACCAAGCGATAGCAGAGCACAAGTGTGAGGTGGCAGTTCTGATAGAAACGGATGGAGTGGTTAGGGGCTGTAGTATTAAATAATTTCAAGGAATAAATTTTGAGACAAGCAAACATAGTTATCTATAAGAGCATCCGTCACCCTCCTTTTTGTATGGGTGTGAGAGTTGAAGACATCAGAAAAATCTTAACAGTACTTTGAATAGAGTGCTCATGGGAAACTAAGTGGAAACAGCAAAGGACTGTCCTGCGGTGCTTCTGCCAGTGAAAATGGAGCTCAGAAGGGCTGTACATGCCCACCTGGGGTCCATTTTCAGCTGTGACTGCCTCCTGCAGCCCTCTGCCAGCAAAAACAGAGGGCTGCAGGAGGCCATCATGGCCAAAAATGGAGCTGGGATGCCCGCACGTGGTCCTCCCAACCTCCCTTATCACTGGCAGAGGGCTGCAGGAGCCTGTCTTGGCCAAAAATGGGGCCCAGGGGGAGAGGGCGTGTGCAGCCCTCCTGAGCTCTGTTTATCACTGGGAGAGGGTTGCAGGAGGCCATCACAGCCCAAAACAAGCATGGCCCTCCTGACCTCTGTTTTCACTGGCAGAGGGCTAGCAAAACAAACTTAAAGCAAAACAAAAGGCAAAATGTTTCCCATTTTTCATTTGAGCATCCAAGAAGGGACAGGAAAGGAGAAAAGGAAAGTTAAGGAAAGAGGGGAAGGGAGAAGAAAGGAGAATGAAAAGGGAAGGAAAAAGAAGAAAAGGAAGGAAGGAAGTTTATAATGAGAGGGATGGAGGGTCTGAGGGAAGTCCTGCCTTACCACTTGGCCACCATAGGAGTGATGTCAAGTTGGCCACACCCACCCCAGACATGCCCACCCAAGCCACGCCCATCCCAGCAATGCTCCCCTGCCCCCACAAGGTCAAACACAACCCTGATGCGGCCCTCAATGAAATCGAGTTTGACACCCCTGGGCTAGGCAGTACTGGCTCAGTAATGCCTATGAAAAGGATCTAAGATACTGGTGGACCATTGCTTAAGTATGAATTAGGAATATGCTGCAGCTACTCAAAAAACCAACAGTCCTAGACTGCATCAAAAAAGTTATAGTATCAAGATCATAGTAAGTAATAGTACTGTTCTATACTGCTCTGACGAGGCCACAATTGGAATGCTTCATCCAATTCTGGTTATCACAATACCAAAAAGATGCTGAAGCCCTGGAAAGAATGCAGAAAACAGCAACAAAGATCATAAGGGGTGTGGAGGTTAAATCTTATGATGAACAGCTAAAGGAACTAAGTATGTTTAGCTTAACAAAGAGAAGATTGAGGGAAAACATGACAGCAGTCTTCCAATACTTGAATAGCTGCTTCAGAGAAGATGCTGTCTATTTATTTTTTATATCATCTGTGGGCAGGATAAGAAGCAGTGTGTGAAAGCTTGGCAGAGATAGCTCCAACTTGGAAATAAGGAGGAATTGAACAGGTTGCTTCTCAAGTTGTGGGTTCTTCATTGTTGGAGGTTTTTAAGAAAAGATTGGACACGTATTTGTCCGAGATGGTATTAGGATTCTTGCTTTGAAAAAGGAGTTGGACTAAAAGACCTCTAAGGTCCCTTCCAACCCTAAGATCGTATGTAGATTTCAATGAATCTTGAGTTGAAGGTGAGCCTGCCATTATAAATATAAATCGGCTATATAAACTAAATAAGTAAATAAATATGTGTGTGTGTGAAAAGGGTATTTCATTGTCTAAGACATCCAATGTTCATCACTCAGATCAGTGGTGGTATTCTACTGGTTCGGCCCGATTCTGGTGAGCCAGTAGCAGCGATGAGCTGCGGAGACCGAACCGGTTCTCTCTGCCGCTCTGCTGTTGGGCCCACCTGCCCGCCTGGGCTCCCATACTCATCTTTATCCACTGAATTTGAAGCGCAGCTGCTTTGCGTGGCATAGAATAGTGCCGCGTGGTAGCTGCTGAAGCAAACGGGATAGTGCAGGCCTGTAGGAGGCAAATTAGAACACCTCTGTGCCTGTGCAAATTGCGCATTTGGTGCACTCGTGCATGCAAAGTGTGTACACATGAGCAAAGCGCACCCACCAAGCTACGCCCACTGAACCGGTGGCAAAAATATTTGAATCCCACCACTGACTCAGATGACATATTGACTCTAGAGAGCATATAGTGGTTTAGAGTTTCCAGCCTATATTATTCAGCCTACAGTATATTCCAGTGTGTATGCCATATTTTTCAGAGTATAAGGCACTCTGAAGTATAAGATGCACCTAGCTTTGGGGGAGGAAAACAAGAAAAAAAATCTGCCTCTACCTCTGCTCTTCCAGTAATTTGCCTCCTTGCAGCAAACAGCAAACAGCCTACTCAGCTTCAGCACAGCCTGATTAGCACAAGCAGCTTGTTGTCAGTTGGATCAGCTTCCTGACTATCAGCTGTTTCAGGCTGCTGGGATTGCCATAGCCTATTGCTGTCTCCTCATGCCCAATTTCAGCCTCCACACGTTTTGTTTTTTACCTCTGCACGCCCCATTTTTGGCAATGGGGATCAGAACAGGCAGAAAATGGGGCACAAAGAAGCCAAAAATGGGACACACAGAGGCCAAAAATGGGACGCGGAGGCTGAAAATAGGGAGTGTGGAGACAGCAAGAGGCAATGATGATCCCTGCAACCTGAAACAGCTGATTGTCAGGGGGCTGATCCAACCGACAATCAGCTGTTTGTGCTAATCAGGCTGTGCTAAATCTGAAACAGACTATTTGCTATTTGTAGCAAGGAGGCAAATTGCTGGGAGGCAGTGGCCAAAGGCCAAAGGGGGCTGGCGAGTGGGTGGAGCTTTGGCAACATTCACTGTATAAGACACACGGACATTTCCACCCACTTTTGGGGGTGGAAAAATGTGTCTTATACTCAAAAAAATATGGTAAACGCATCTTATACTCAGAAAAATGCAGTAATTAATATGGTGACTGGTACTGTCACAATCCTAAGAAAATAAATATCTCAAATCATTCTGCTCTTTGGCAGTGTATTTGAAATACTCAGGATACTTCAAAAAGAACTATATTTAAGTGCTTCAACTGAAACTCAGGACCGATTTGTTCTTCCTTTCTTCCTTCCTCCCCCCACTCCCTCCCTCCCTCCTTTCTTCCTTTCCAGAGTACAAGTCTTCATGCTGCAAAGTGTGGTTCTCCTTGGAAATACATAGTATGCCAGCGCAGCCAGAAAAAACTCTGGATGTGGAATGTGCAGTTTTGGTAAGGTCCTAGTATATCTTGTAAGATTTTATAGAGTTCTGTGGGAAGTCCATCTGCTCCAGGGTTTTATTATTATTATTTTTGCCTTTTAATTGCTCCCATTATTTCTGTTGTCATTATTCTTTCATTCAACGGTACTCTCACTGTTTCCGGTATTTTAGGTAATGCAGCTTTTTCCAAATATTGTTTAGTTGTATCTTCTGGCATTTTTTCTTGACTGTACAATTTCCTAAAGAATTCCTGAGCTATTTCCTTTTTATCTTCATTCTGGTGCTGAAGGATCCCCTTTTTATCTAATAATTAGTGTATTATTTTCTTCTCTTTTTCCCTTTTCAATTTATATGCTAACCACCTCCCTGGCTTATTTTCATGTTCAAAAAAGTTTTGTTTTGCCATTTTGATTTTTGCACCATTTCCTCTTGCATTATTAGATTCAGTTTATGTTTTATTAAATAACTTTTCTCTTTTGTCTTGTTTTTTTGAGGATCCTTCTGCAGTTCTCTCTCTAGTCCTTTAAGCTCATCTTGTAACATATTTTGCTGTTGTTTCTTTTGCTTGTTTCTTCTTACCATGTATGTAATTGTTAATCCTCGCATATATGCTTTTGCCATGTCCCAGACTTTTTGTAACAATGTTTCCTCTTTTTTATTTTCTTTAAAGAAAAATTTGATTTCTTTTTCCATCATTTGTGTGAACTCTATCTTTTAGAATAGTTTGATTCATTGTCCATCTCAATTTCTTCTTTTGTCCCTTCCACCCAATTTTAATAGGATTGTGGTCTGCCCATGTGTTTGTTACTATCTCTACCTCTTGGACCTCTGTCCTCATACCTGGAGTCATCCACACTATTCTATTTTTGACCATGATTGATGTCTATTCGAGTAGAATGTGTATTGATTCGTCTTTGGATTAAGCTCTCTCCAGATATCCTGCAGATATCCTGTTTCTTGTATCATGTTGGAGAAGGTTTTTGGAAGTGTTCTTGCTTTTTTATTTTTATTTTATTGCTTTTGTAATCTTTTTTAATGTCCAAAATTGCATTGAAATCCCCTATGATGCATAAGTTTTCATAGTCCATTTCCATTATCTTTTTATGAAGACTTATGTAGAACTCTTGTTGATTATTTGGGACGTATATTGCAATCAAGAGAATTTGTTTCTGGTTTATTAGTACCTCCCTCATTAATATTCTTCCTTCTCCATCTGCATATATTTGTTTAGTTTTTAACAATTCTTTAATATATAGTACTACCTCTAGTATTCTACTAGTGTTCTAATAAGTTACTCTATTGTTTTTTAATGTGGACTTCTTGAAGACAAATTATATCCAATTTTAATCTTTTGTAGTTTGGTGAAGGTTTGTTTTCTTTTTATGGGAGAATTCACATAACAGATAGTATCTTTACTTCGTCTTCCATCTTTTCACTTATATATAGGTCTTACCCTTCTTGTTGTTCTTGTCTCTCTCTGTGTTTTTGTTCTTGCACCTTCTTGTTTGTCCTGTTCATTCTCCTCCTTCTTCTTTTTCTACAGTTTTTTCTTCTATTTGCATTTCATCTTGACTTTTACTTTCTGTTAGAGTTTATTGCAGAAATCAAATCAGAAAGCACATACAGATGACTGATTCAGTAGGATTCATTAACTTCTTTATATACATAATAATATGTGAGTAAAATGTACAATACCAATAGTAGATTCTTCCAAGGTAACACAAGCAAAATACAAGCAGCAGCTTCAGAGCTCAGAGCAGAGAGCAGAGAAGAATAGTTTCAGTTCTCAGCATAGCACACAGAACTGCAGGACCATGCACAGGCTCCCTCAGTTACAGTTTCTAATTCAGCTCTCATTGGCTGACCTTCTTACCATGTCTCTGCTAGTTCATGAATAGTCTGACACTTTCTATCTCCTCTCTACTTTCTTGTTCTTCATTTGCTGTAAAGTGATGTTCAAAAAATTTGTGTGCTTTATCTAAGGTGTCTATCCTGAATTTTTGTTACAGTATTGGGATTTAAGAGCTGACCCGCAGTGAAGCTGATGCAATATAAGGCTGATGCAATATAAGGCTGATACAATGAAGATGAATCAGCATTAGTACTGTCTCTTTAAGACTGAGGATGGGTTCTACCTCTTTAAGAGGTGTTTATATATAGCAGCAATTAGAGGACATGTTCTCTCTCTTTGTGTCCAGTATCCATTGCAGAGTTCTCTGTGTAGAGTTAAGAAGAAGATTGATTGCTTGTAAGGTATTTTGCCTACCATGTATATTTCTGTATATGTCTTGTATATAAACCACTGTTAAATGTCTTAAGTCTCTGTGTGCTGTGTTTTGCTCCTGGGTTGTCTCACAATAATAGTCACACTGCAAATGCTCTGATAGGTTATGGGCCTAGTATAGAGAGAAGATCAGAGTGACTGGAAAGCCTAGAGAGAAGAGAAACCCAGTGGGAGCTTCATACGAGTAAGTGGTTTAAATTGTGGTTAGTGGCAACATGGCCTCCGTTGGCATAATGGGAGGAGGTTTCTTGGTGTCTTGGCTGAATGAAACAAATTACCTCTCCTGGAATGTGAAGATGGAGATGTACCTGCGGAGGGAGGAGTTGTGGACAATTGTTGCTGATCCACTGGCAGTCCTGGATGATGGGGATCAGAGGAAAAATGAAAAGGCATTAGCCAGCATAATTCTGGCTTTGGAGGACAGTCAGCTGATACACATGAGGGTTCTCCAGTCTGCAAAAGAGTGCTGGGAGACATTGCACAGTGTGTACATGAAAGAAACTGCGCAGTAAAGTGTTGCTGACTAGGAGACTGTATAAGGCACAACTGAAGCCAGGGGCACAACTTAGTCCAGGATGGTGACAGAGAAGCTGAAACAGTGAACTTTGTGAAGAGATGCCACATGTGTGGTTCTACTGAGCATCTCCAGAGATGCTGCCCTGAGAGGAGAAACAGAGGAGCAGTGAGTGAAGGGCACAGGACTACTCAGCACATGTGGAGCGGTTCTCCAGTGTCGTTTCCCTGGCAGCGTCAACAACTGAACACACCAGGAATATGTGGTTGTTGGACAATGCGGCGAGCCAGCATATTGCTAACAATCCACAAGCATTTTCTGGTTTGAAAGCAGCAAGCAAATGTGGGTTAGTCTGGCTGATGAACAAATAGTTGCTATAAAAGGGGAAGGTAATGTTAATTCCTGAGGTTTTTTTATCTTTTTCATACCTTGATTGAATTTTGAGATAAGCCCACCATTCCAGATCTACCCCTTGTTTTTTTAGATCCTGTCTCGACTTCAGTTCCCTCTCATCATTTATGATATCTTTGTAAGTAATAGCTTTGGTCTGGTTATACAAGTTTCGGTAGACTCATTGCCTCTAGCGTGGATATCCAGGCTGTCATGCCCCTGTCGGAATCTGATTCAGATGGGGAAGCTGAGCAGCTAACAGGGAGTGGGAGTGTGGCTCCATTGGCTGTGGAAGAAACTCAAAGGGCAAAAGCCAGTTGGGCAGAGCAGGGGAGAGGTAGAGCAAGGGAGAGGGAATTCGGAGCAAGACCCAGGCCCCTCTTCATCCTAGGGCATGCAGGGAGGAACGGAGAAGGGAGCAATGTGGGTTGCATGGCTTACAGGGAAGGAAAGGGCCATGATTCCCTTCATTAGCTGCAGCTGGGAACAAAGTGTTTAAAAAGGGAAGCTGTGCACAGCAAAGTTGTTGGGAGCAAATCGTAAATTATCTGGTATCATCGAGGCTTATCTGAGTTCTTGGTGTCTTCCCAACTGTGTGAGTTTTACTGGGCTTTCAAGTCTGCAATTTCTTCTCCTGCCCTGTCAATTTAATTACTGCAGCATGGTTTGTGTGGATTTTTATTTACAGTTTGTATGTACTTTGTTTTCAGACTGAATTTCCTCCACTTAAAAATTGTTCTTGGGAGATTTTTTTTTCTCCATCCGAAGATAACCTGGACATTGGGGGCAAAGTTGGAGGTATTAAAAGGACATTTCTTGCTTATTTGACTGTGTTGCTTTTGTGCTACGCCCTGGGTCATCACACAGGCTGGCAATTCCATATAATTTTGGAGTTTAATTTTATTCCAAAACAAAAATAAAGCTTGTTGAATTTTATGCCTTAAGAAGTATTGGTGAATAGTGTTTCTGCCATACCACAAAAATGCATGTCAGCCCTGCTGTGGGTCATGGCCTTCTAAGCGCAGTAGTCTTCTGTCTTTTAAGCTTATCCAGTCCTTAATCCAGGTAAGTGCTGCTACCTGATAGTATAGTTCCCATTCTGGAAGTCCAAATCCTCCTCTTTCTTTTGCTTCTTGTAATAACTTCAATTTGATCCTGGGCCTCTTTCCTTGCCATATGAAATTTGGTGTCAGTTTATTCAAATCTCCGAATAATTTTTTGTCGAGTTTTATGAGTATGTTTTGGAACAAAAAGAGCACTTTGGATAGAATGGTCATCTTAATTACTGATATTCTTCCTAATAAAGAGAGTCTCAAATTGCTCCACCTTTCCAGATCTTCTTTTATTTGTTTCAGCAATTTGTCATAGTTATCTTCTTTAATCATGGTGCAAAGTGCCGAGATGTTGATTCCTAAGTATTTTATTTTTTTGACTATCTGGATGTCCAACTTCATGGTCAAAATTTCTTTCTGTTTATTGGTCATGTTCTTAACTATCATTTTCATCTTATCTTTATTGATTTTTAAACCAGCAGCAATGTCATAATCCTCAAGTAACTCTAAAAGTTCCAGGCCCATTTATTCTGGGTCTTCCATAATAAATACCGAGCAATTTTATCTTCCAGAAAATCCGCAAATTCCTTAGTGCTGCTTCAGGTGGACTTCAATCTCCTCCTTCTCTAGGAGGAGATGGCTCACCTTAAAGAGGGTCGCTTGGTGATTATCTGCAGAGGCAATTAGTGTGGAGAAGTATTTACACTTCGCCTCATGAATCGCCACAAGGTAAGCCTTAGTAGCAGCTCTTACCTATGTTCGATCGAGTTCATTTCCTGTCTTCTGCCAGCGGCGCTTTAGATGTCTCCTCATGCATTTTATCCCTCTAGGTTCCTCTGTATACCTCAGGGCACAGAGAGGAGAGGTCGCAAGAGTGCAATCCTATCCAGAGCCTTACTCATCTTCCTATTCCAAACAGTGACTAAGAGCTTGGCTGGACTGCATAATAGATCTGCAGTTATAACCCCCAGCTCCTTATAGAACCCATCTGGGTCCATTAGTCGATGGGGGCAGACCAATCTAATAGATCCTGCCTCCCAGCAGGAGATGCCAAATCGTATAGTTGCGCTCTGGAGCCAACAACTTCTGAGAACAATAAGCGCACGGGAACAAGATGCCTGTGGGAGCATAGGCCTGGAGGAGCACCCCAATGGAACTTCTTCCCCTTCTTGTGCAGATTAGAAAGGGGAGCAGTCGAGGCAGCAAAGCGGGGAATAAATGTGCGGTAGTAGTTCGCAAACCCCAACAGTCGTTGCACATCCTTAACCCGCTGTGGAGGTTCCCACTCCTGCAACGATTGAATTTTTTCTGGGTCCATTTCCACCCCAGCAGGTGGAAGTCAATCGTGGTTTGAGCAAACTGACACTTCTCACATTTAGCAAACAAGGTGGTTATCACGCAAATGTTGCAACACTAGCCGCACATGCTGCCAATGTTCCTGCAGGAAGTCTGAGTAAATCAACAGGTCATCTAAATAAATGACCACAAATTCATCCAACAAATCACGGAAAACATCGTGCATGAAATGCATGAACACGGCTGGGGCATTGGTTAATCCAAAAGGCATCATGGTATACTCAAAATGCCCGTACCTTGTCCGGAAAGCTGTTTTCCACTCGTCCCCTGCAGGAATGCAAACCAGATTGTAGGCCCCACACAAATCCAACTTCGTAAAGATCTTAGCTTGACGAAGCTGCTCAATCAGTTCAGGAATGAGGGGAAGCGGGTACCGATTCCTCACTGTGATTGCATTCAACTTGCAGTAATCACAACACAAACATAGTTCCCCAATTTCTTTTTCACAAAAAGCACTGGTGCAGCCAATGGGGAGGTAGAAGGCTGGATAAACCCTTTCCGGAGGTTCTTGTCAATAAAATCCCGCAACACAGCTAACTCTGGTTCCGACAGGGAATATATCCAACCCACCGGCAATTTTGCATCAGGCAAGACACCCAATGTGGAGGCAACTGATCTGCCTCCTTCTCCCCAAACACATCAGCAAAGTCCACCAACTCTGCAGGTAGATCCAGGTCCACGGACGTAGCCACACTCCCTGCACAGGAGCGCAAGCAATGGTTGGCACACTTCCTATCAAGGAACTGCACAGCTCCAGACGACCAAACAATCTGTGGATCATGGGCCTGTAACCACTCCAAACCCAGCACCACTGGAAAATGAAGCACTGTGGCAATGTAAAAGATGGTTTCCTCCACATGCTGCCCAATACGCATGCAAAGGGGTTTGGTTGCAGCAACCATAGGTCCTGAACGAAGGGGCCGACCATCAATCATCTCCACCATTACTGGTGGGGATACCTGTTGCTGAGGAATGAACCACTGATTGACAAAATGAGCATCCATGAAATTGGCTGTGGCCCCTGAGTCGACCAAAGCCACCACTCCCACACCAGGCACGAACACACTTGCTGGCAGCACAAGATGCTTCACCAATAGCGACTGTGGTGGAGATGTCAAAGATGTCAAAGTTGGCAAGGGTGGCAAGGTTGGTGAAGATGGCAGGCCTATGGCCTTTACACCCCGACCTGCAGATTCCCATAGGCTGAGCGATGCTCGTTTCCCGCCACTGCAGGTGTCGCTGCTGTGGTTGTCTTAACAGGACACTTGGCCGCAAAATGGCCTTGATTGCCACAATAGAGGCATAAACCATCACGACAACATCTATTCTTTTCTACTTGTGTCAGGCGAGGGCGGCCAGCCCCCAACTGCATGGGTTGCTCCAAAGGCACTTCCACCAAAGGCGCCATCTTGCTGGAAACAGATACGGTCTCTGTCCATCATCACACCCATTGCTGCTGAAGTCTAGCATCGATACAAAGACACAAATGCATGAGCTCCTGAAGGGTGCGAGGGCATTCAGTGCATGCCAACTCATCCAGAAGCTCTGATGACAAACCCTCCTGGAACTGGTCTAATAGTGCTGCCTCATTCCATTGTACATCCTGAGCAACCACCTGAAAACTAGCAATATAATCCATGAGCGAGCCACACCCCTGCTTCAACTCTCTCAAACGTCTGTTTGCTGTTTGGCTTCGAACAAGGTCCTCAAACATGGCCTCAAACTGACGGCAAAACTCGGCATAATTGTCCAACACCTGGTTGGGCTGGGTCAGCAGAGGTGTCGCCCAACGTGCTGCAGAGCCTGACAACAAACTAATCAAAACCCTCACCTTATCCCGGTCAGTGCGAAAGGCTCATGTAAAGCTGGCTCATGTAAAGCTGGCACTGCCCCCAAAATGCTGGAAATTGGGCCAGCGAACCATCAAATTTATCTGGCACCTGCCACTGGGCATTTTTGGCGTGGCTGAGCAGCTTGCATTTGTGCCATCTCTTCCTGTCAAAAGAGCCACTTGCTGGGTTAACTGGGCAATCTCTGCTCTGAGCTGATCCATGGTCACCCCACAAAAAGCAAAAATAAGTTGAAGGGGTGGCTGAAGTCAAAATGTGATGACCCATAGTCTCTCAAAATAACC